AAGCAGATCCAAGGCCATGTTTTTAGCAGGTGCTGGTGTCTTCTCACCCTCTGCTAGCTGTACCATTTTGTAGAGAAACAATCGCAGAAGCAATTCCGCAGCGGGCCAATCAGTCGAGTTCAAGCATGTGATGAAGTCCTCGACAAAAAGATCCAAAAGATTGCGATAGGGTGCGTCTCCAGTTTTGGTGGACTTCATTGCTCTGCCGACAATGAACCCTACAACGTAAGTCGCATTGCTTCTGGCTGTATCGAGCAAAGGCGAGACTGCTTCCCTAAGTTCCTGGATTGCCGTCACGGGTTGCTCTTCACCCCTCGTTTCTGAGTTAATAGTGGTTCTTGGAACCGCAGGATCCTGCCCAGAACCATTCATCTCTTCATCTCCATTGAGAGCCTCCAGTGCCTTGCGTCTGCGTTTCGCCTTGGAATCATCCAATTTACTAGCACTTGTCTGAATAAGCCTCATGATCAATGCTGACACGAGCTGAATGCTTCCACCTTCAGCGAGCTTGAACTGACGAGCGCTTTGCTTTGTAACTGGAAGCTTTTCTAGCGACGTCAGGATCTCGTCGAAGATGCCTTGGCGTTGGGCAGGATTGCAGAGAAAGATCTGGGCAAGTACGTCCATGGCAACCACACGTAAGCTATCAAATCTAGACACTCCTAAGACTGAGTCCCGTTCACTATGAGCGTTTTCCACGAAGATTAGTTGAGATGTTGTAAATTCGAGAGTGTTGATAACTGTCTCCGAGATCTCGATGTTGGCTACTAAGGTTGCCATCAGTGCGAAAAGACGCCGACACTGGGTCAAGAGATTGTTGATAGTCTTTTTCGCGGCTGATAAAAGCTTAAAAAGCGACGCCGTAGATCCAGTGCTTCTCATTTCTACGATCGGGACAATGCAGTTCTCCGTAACGTTCTTGAAGGCGTTCAAAGCAGACTGAATGACATCTTCCGAATAGAGTTGCTTATCCTCGCGACCCCCTGACATGAGTCGCAGGGAAGTCCGCGCGGCCTTAATGCCCAGTTCTGCAATGATGACCTGAGGAAGCCATGTTTCAATCTCCGATTCTCCCATGCTTTCCTCGATCTTCACTTCAATAGTCTCGGCATCTTTGAGTGCAAACTCGGAGAGCTTTTGTAACCGCAATAGGTCGTCCAAAGGTACCTGTGAGAAACGGCCAACTGTAATGACCTTCTGCAGAAGAGTGTCGACTTTTGTCTGGGCAGCGATACTCAAGCTTATTCCTTCACTTGCAGCAGTGAAGAGATGGCTCGAGTGAACAGCTCCAGGCTGCATTTGATCTTCAGCTTCAAATATCTCCCCAAGATACTCTCGGAGATTTTCAAGAGCCAGCTCAGCCTTCTCACGCTGATCCACGCTCCGTGATAGGCCATACTCATCGGTTTCGCCTGAGGAACGTCTGCGTTTTCTAGAGAGATGTTGTGGAGTGTCTGGTGTCTCAGGCGCGACCTCATATTCTTCTGGTCGGAAGGTAGGTGAAAGGTCAGGTATGATGACTGCCAATCCTTGTGAAGGTGTTGGTACTTGGACAGGTGATTGGGATGGTCCGTGAAAGGCCTGTTGTTGGTGGGGTTGATATGGTTTAGTGGGAGGGAGAATGGCTCGCTGAACTGGAACATGAACTTCAAGAGCTGCTCGAGAGGGAGATTCTACCGGAGATTCGACCTTTGGTTGAGAAGAAGCATATTCTTCTCGTCGAAAGGTTTCTGGGGGCTTCGGAATCACTACAGCAAAGCTCGAATTTGGCTGAGTGGGTGGTTGGTATGGAGGGGTAGCATATTGTCCTTTGGGTCTGCCATTGGATGACTGGAGTTTGATAGTTGAATTGATATCATGGCCTTTCTGGTTCGAGGTGTGTCGTGGAGTCTGCTGTGATTTTGACTTCGGTGTTTTTTGCTTTTGTGGTACGGTCTTATTATTGGGAATAGGAGGACTTGGCCTGTCTGGAGAAGGATATGTGAATTCAATGGCAGTATGGTCATAAACCATCTTTGCGAATGGTGTGAGAGATAGTCTTGGGAGTTCGTTCGATGTGAGAGTTGAGGAATCGTTAGGAGAAGTTTTGAATTTGCTGCAAATATATCAGATCGGATCAGGGAGGTGAGGATAGTTTCATACAATTGCGCAATGCCCTCAGGCTTTAACAGTTCCTTAAGATCATTTAAGGATTTCTGAAGCCTCTCGGAGGTATTGTTGGTAGCTCGAGCTTCGCGATTGAGATTGTCGAGACCTTGTCTCGTGTTGTCGCGTTCTTCCTGGTTTGGAAATATCGAAGTTGAAGAGCGCAGGCCAATCGATGGTACAGGAATGATATCTGAAGGCGAATGGATTAGTTGAGGGTGCCAGGAGATGTTTAACGTTTGATGTCGTACCTGAATTGAATGGAACGACAGAAGAGAAGGGGGAATATGGCAGAGCCTCATCCACAGTAAGGACTCTAGAAGGTCTGTGTCTGTTTCCATTTATGGATGACGCGCGATTCAATCTATTCACTCCATAGATGGTGCCATTTTGGTTTGGATAGCCGTTGGTTTCCATCTTGTCTGCGAGATAGGTAGCCCGGAAGTGAGGCAAAGCGTTTGAAGATGAGCGTGAGGATCTAAAGAGAATCCACAGATTGCAGAACCATTTTGCAAGGTCGGCTATCACTATTGGCGGATTGCACGACGCCTCATGTACAGAATATCATAGTTGGTGTCGCATTCATCTGAAGTGGTTGCAGCCTCGCGACAGTGAGGCCCTTAATCGTGAATCGACTAGGCTGCTTACATAAGCATGCAAGGCTTCACAAAATTTCTCAAGCAAGCCTCACCTAATTCCAACACTAACTCGAACAATCGACAAAATGTCTGCAATTGGATCTTTGGTTTTCTGTACCGACTGTGGCAATCTACTCGACAGTTCTACTGGCAACAAGAACACAATCCTGGTCTGCGATTGCTGTGGTGCCGAGAATAAAGGTTTGTACAAAATCGTAGTTTCTTGAATGTCCTAACTGGGAATAGATACTGCGTCAAAGACAATTACAACTTCTACAAAGGCGTCCTCATTTCCATCACTCTTGCGACAAAAGCGATCAGCTGTTCAGACTGTCGAACGAAGCGATATGCAGAATGAGGCTACAATCGCAGAGACATGTCCAATGTGTGGAAGGCAGGAAGTTAGGTATTCTGCAGTCCAGTTGAGAAGTGCCGATGAAGGAAGTACCATCTTCTACACATGCGACTGTGGACACAAGTAATTCACATGCCATTTGCTATTCTAATACTGGCTAATTAGAGTTTAGATGGAACACCAACAATTGAGTCGAAGCAGAACTTTCCGAATTGAAAGCCTTCCGAGCATTATCACAGCTGGCACAAAATAGTTTAATGTATATGTCCGAGTTGAGTTGCTATTCAAGGCACCAGCACTTGGTACCTAGCATTTTGGAAACCCAGAAATCAAAATACCCCCGAGCCAACCCATGCCATACCAATCGCCAAAAATCAACGATGTACCTAAATGCTCCTTTACACAGTAGAAGTCTCCGGAATCAAAGCATATTCAACCTCACCACCCTTCTCGAATTCTGCCATATCCAAAGCCACAATTACACTGTCCCGTACGACTTGCTCCTTGTCATCTAGGAAGCGCTTCAGAGTCTCCTCGACACCCTCCTCCTCGCCAAGACTCCCTAGAGCTTCAGCAGCTTCATGTCGAACCATACTCGCTTCCTTTAAATCGGCAAGAGCTGCCGTGAGAGCAGGAATAGATGCAGGATGCGATAATTGACCGAAAACGAACGCGATTTCGTGTCTGAACAGCGCCGAAGGATCGGCGAAGCCCTTTGCCAGAGCATTGACGGCAGGTACAGCGGTAGGAAGATCGGGTGGTGAAGCCAGGTCCCGAAGACCAAACATAGCTCTGTATCTTAAGAACAACGGCAGACTCGTATCCAGCAACGATTTCTCCAACTTCTCAATATTTTCGCTCTGCTCAGCCGGTGCCGTAGGCGCAGGATCAATCGATGCGAAATCACTGTAAACATTAGCATAACCGTCCAACCTGTAGAAAAGTGAAGCCAACCTCTGCCTCAACTTCTCCCTCCTCCCCTCCTCCGAATTCTCCCACTCAATCCTCGCAACAGCAATCTCACACGTCTCCCTCACAACCACCACCTCCTCTTTCCTGTCCCTCAACTCCCTTAACAGCTCCAAACTCCCCTCATCTCCGATCGCTCCCAATGCCTCCGCAGCCTCATGTCTACACATTGTATCCTCATCCTTATCCTCCAATACGGCCTTTAGATACGGCACCGCAGCCAAATTCTTGCTCTGTCCAAGACAGTACGCGAGTTCGTGTTTGAGGAGTGCGGACGGAGACGTGAAGCCTGCGGCGATGGCAGCGATAGCGGGGATGCTACCTTGGCATGCGAGGTGTTTGAGGGAGAAGAGGGCGCGAAAGCGCCGCGCAAGAGGCTCGGATTCGGAAGTAAGCGCTTTTCGTAGCGTGATGATGGTGATGTCTTCCGTAGAAGCTGGGTCAGTCGCTGAAGGTGCCATGGTTTTTCTTTGTTGTGTCGTGAATGTCTTTGTAAATTCACAAGCCTAGTGGGGTGAGATTTTTATCAAAATGTCGGAGGGGCCGTTTACCGTAGTCCGTGCCCAGCCTCTCGGAGAAAAAAGTGACCGATTTTGGCACTTCTAAGAATAAAGAAATCTGCAATGTGTATAAAGAAATCGATTACCATAATTTCTTTCTTGTCTAACTTTTTATATCTAGTCGTAATTCCTGGGGGATTAGTGCAAACTGATTCAAACTTTTACTTAGGTTATATTCAAGGTAGTTGATGAGTACCTAGGTATTTGCCAAAACTCGGCCTTTTCCTTCTCTTCCTCCGTTCCGGCTCACTAGCTCGCTTTTGGGTAAGACAATAGTAATACGCGTATAGAATTAAATAAGAGAATTTGAAACCAGCTTAGCGCATTTGCAAAGGTTCTATGGTGTAATGGTTGTATGTACTTAACATACTATAGAAGACAATATACTAATCTGTCATTGTTAGAGCACATCGGATTCTGATTCCGGGGATCTGGGTTCAATTCCCAGTAGAACCTCGAAAACGATGTTCAATCATGATCTTGCAATTTTTTTTAGGGTCTTTTTGGCATTTTTGCCTCCTTTGTGTCTCGGTTACATCTATCTCTTTGTGTCATCTTCCTGGCCGCGGGCGCTCGCTTAGCTCCTACTAGCCGAAACAGCCCCTATCAATCGTAGCTAACTCGAGACTCTTAAAATGTCCTACTGCATCATGTTGCCACTCTTAACTGAGAAAAATTGCAGTAATCAAGCTCCGAGTATCGAGTTCCCGGAGGGGGGGGGACTAGCGGAGATCGGGAGGAGATGCCAGAGAATAGAGAATAGTCTGGGAGGTTCTTATACTGACCCAGCGAAGTTCCGAGAAACGATGATATCGTTGCCTACGAGGGTGATATTAACTTCAAGAAAACTCAGGACAGACTCTCCAAACAGAGGACCGACTGGGCTTTATTCCTGGACGAACTTCATCAGAAAGTTAAAACCCCGAGTGCTGCATTTCAGGATAAGCATAGCGAGAAGCGTGTCTGATGGTTGGATGACATGAGTGTCAAGCAGATCGCTAGTTTTGCAAATGGCAAAGAATAGATTCTCTTTCTGCCGAAAAGTCTGTCCTGTCTTGTTTAAGATGATTGAGATCGACTCCCATCATTTCATCTGAATGATAGAAAATTGAGCCCAACGTCGTTCAGCTGTTCGAGATGATATCGAGGCACCCACGAAAACCAAGGCTAGTGGCCCCTTCACTGGAAGCAGTGCTTTACACTTATCACGAATATAAGGCCAGAACAGGACCAGCCAATATTAACTTCGATCTGGCTAGCGTTTAGAGATATGTGGTACAAATTATAGGACTTGATAAATATCCAATTCACATGTTCTATAGGGTTCAAGGAGCCGCGAATTCATTGCATAATAATACTGTACGGACAAGTGTCTTCTCTGTTACCTGTTTATTTCAAACTCTCAAACTCCATAACCCGCAGCCAATAACCCATGTTCCCTTTTTTCTTGCCATCTTCTCCCGCCCTCAAATATCACTCAGCTGTCTCACAACCTTCCCGCCTCCAGCACACCCCATTACCTGTAGAAGTCCTGGCGCGTCAAGCTGCCATTCTTGATCGAAATCGCGCGTTTGTTCACAGACCCCATCCTATAATGATTTGTGACCTTCATGCTGTCAAAATGAAATAAGAGGTCGCGACTCTTCTGGTTCGTGGTCGGCCCGCTAAACAAGACTTGCTCGATATCTCCCTGTCCTTGTGTGGATGGGATTGGGTCGAGGTTATCTAACTGAGTGTCGGTGGTGGTTGCAAGGGAGGTACAAGGTTGTATTGAAGCTCTAGAACCAGAAAGAGGCGGAGCTTGCACATCGTCGGCGGCATACATCTCGTCATTATAAGCTAGAGACTGGACGTTAGAATATGCATATGGGGTTACCCAAGTTCTTACCAGATGCTTGTACAGGATAATAGTCAATCGATGGTACATCGGTGGGGCGGGTGAGTGCGTGTGAAGGCTCGACTGGATTTGGAGGATGGGTCGGAAACTGAATTGGCCCATAATCCCAATCCAGTTCACCTAGAGACCAAAAATTAGAACAAGTAGATATAACTAGCAGAATTCTTACCAGATGATGTAGTTCTATGCCTAATACATCTATTATAGTTGGCATATCACTGCCAGTCACTCCAGTCTGAAACCCGGCTATTTGAAGCTCCACTTTGCGAATGATTGCTCTTTGGCTTTTCCTTTTCGCTTTCTACCTTCTCCCGTCTTTCTATTTCCTCCCTTCTTTCCACCTTCTCTCTTCTGTCCGCCGTCTCTCTCCTTCCTACCTTCTTCTTCCTTACCATTACCACCTTTACTGTAGTGAAGAACATAGTGCAGAGGAACACCAAAAAAAAGAAAGGAGGAAGTAAATCACATTGTATTTGATGTAAGCCGCGTCTTTTCCCCAAAAGAAATTTGCGGGTACAATTAAGACTTCATATTTTTGACAGGCTACAGGATAGCAGATTGACGTGGCATTACCTCATGCAGCTTACCAGCGTAATACATTATGAATGGATACAAGCTATGCAGCCGTTTCTAATTCTACGCCGCTCTATCTAGGCTGGCCTAATGATACGCCTTATTTGGTTTCATTGGGTATCTATGTGTGTCTGGTGGATGTAGAATCTGTCTGTGGCTTTAGATCAGGCAGGGTTGGGTTGGAAAGAAGACGAAAGTAAGGCTAGAGAATAAGACGGTGAGAGAGGGCTAAACAGAAAAAGGGAGGTGGGGGGTTACGTAGTTTATAGAAGAATCTCGGGGCGGATTACAACCTGATGTAAAACTGGATTGTGTAGTGCGATAAAGGGAGGTTAAGGAATAGACACAGGAGGCACCTAACTTTGGGGGAAGCTAAGATATCTACTATGTTATTATAAAATGATAAATAAGGTAGTTAATCACGCAAAGAGGGAATGCTAGCCCAGTGTATGATGCACAATATGGGAAGCCTTAGCGAGGCTCCCCTGACTTCTGCTGGCTCACGAAGACCGTACGCCCATTCCTGCTGCTTGTAAGGCATCGCAGTGGTGACTCGAAGAGTATGGAAAAGCACAGCCTATTCTTAAGTCGTCTAGAGCTGTCTTAAAGACAGCGAAACGTCATTGCACGTGAAAATGCCTAAGCAACCCCCCACGCCTACTTCACCACTCACAGGTGTCTTCTCCCAGCTTCCACACTTCGTTACTCGTATTTGCTCTTCCTTGACCGCTGTCTCGTCCGGACCCGTCCGGGAACTGTATCTTGCGATTCTTCAGGTTCGCCTCGATCGGGCTATCGAAGACGGGTCCTGCGCGATGAGTATACTCTGCAATTTACTGCCTTAGAATCGTCCACTAGCCAACCGGCCAGACCATTCATGCAATGCCAGATATAGGCATACCTCTTGCCTCTACTACCTCCTCCCCCGCCAAATGTCTACGAAAAGTTAGTACGCAAATATATATTCCTCCAGGCAACGAGATCAAGAAGCTTTACCGCCTGCAAGAACGATTCCATAAGGATCCATGGGTCAGCCTCGTTGTCTGGCGGATGTGAAGGAGATTGGATGGCCGGAATTTGCCTCCTACCATTCCCGGGTTTCGGTCACAAATACCTAGTGCTATAACCTCATCCGGTCATCAGGTAACACAAGAAAAAAATCTGCGCGATTGGGCAAGAATTGGCTCTGCTCTGCGATGATAATTAGCGGCAAGACCTAGGGGAGCAATCGAGATTCACTTTCTTCGGAAAAAGTGGTGGAATACCTGAACGTTATTTTGATATACATAGAGAAATGAACAAAGTAAATTTCGAAATCAATTATATCTCCTTTATTTGTTTGTTCGGTACAGAGAGTTAAAGAATAAAGATATATGTCTATAAAAAGGCAAAATGTTATCTCAAACCATGAATTGGAAAACTTGGAAATTGATTGGTTTATGATTTACACATGGCAAAGCACTTCAAGTTTCAATGATGTCGGGACTTTGAGGCTTGCAAGCTTTAATTCGAAGCGGTTAGTAATCCGAAATTGCAAAGAGGGAAGAGTGAGGAGAGTGTGAGTTCTATCTCTATTTATTGTGGTATCTCATCTTCTTTAGACTCTCTATCACGATCATGATGCTGCCCGCCCAAAAAAAAAGTCTCAGAGTATACAATCCACAACTCCTTTCTCCCATACTCGCACCGACACCCTTCAACTCCAACACCTAGGGTATATCTTTCTCTAGTAGGACCTCGAAATCTCTGCCTCCTCAACTTTAAGCTCCTTCTCCCCACCATAATGCACCTCCTCAACCACTCCCCCGAGCTTACCACCCGCCGTCCCCACCGCAACAACATCCTTAACCCTCATCACATGTCTTCCAGTCCTCAACCAATGCGCAGTCACATACCCTAACACATACACAAACCCCACCAGCGGAACCACATACGAGATTCTCGTCCCAGCCGAATCGGCAATCGCACCCTGAATCGGAGGAAAAACGGCGCCACCACTTACTCCCATGACCAAGATACCAGCTCCACGACGGGTATGTCGGCCTAGGTTCGCGGTACCGAGTGTGAAGAGAGTGGGATACATGGGAGCTTCGAGGAAGAAGATAGCGATCAAGACGCCGACGGCAGCGTTACCGCGAGCGGCGCAGATCACGGCGTTAAGAGCGATGGCAATAGCAGCATAAACCATCAGGAGGAAATCAGCCTGGAAGACAGTCGCGAGAGCAGTAGCGACGAATCTCCCAACAGTGAATGTAATCAGTGCGTACGAGAGGAGGTTGGCAGCTTGAGCAGCAGTGAAAGTGGCGTTCTCGGTAGCGTAGTTGATGAAGAAGGAAGCGATGGTGACTTGGGCACCGACGTAGCAGAATTGCGCGATGAAGCCGAAGATCATGTTGTATTGCTTGTAGAGGGGGCCTTGTCCGATCTCGTTTCCGAATTCGTCGGTGGCGAAGTTCTCGATGGTGGAGGAGTTGAGCATTTCTTCTGAGACCTCGGGGAGTTTGGCGACGAGGAAGAGGATGGCGATGGCGACGCCAGCAGCGGCTACTGCGAGATATACAAATTGCACGTTGACTAAATTGTTGGCATTCTTGCCGGAGAAGAAGAACTTGGAGGCGATCAAGGGGCCGATGAAGGAAGCAACGCCGTTCCATGACTGGCAGAATTGGAGACGAGCAGAGGCGCTGGCTGGGTCGCCGATGACAACAGCATAGGAGTTGGCAGCAGTCTCCAGAGTAGCAAGACCACAAGCAATGACCAAAGTGCAAGCGCAGAAACCACCAAAGGAAGCAATGCGGTGTTCATAGGTGGAGAAATGTGCAGTAGGCCAGAAGAAGATAGCTCCCAGGCTGTATAGTGAAAGTCCCATGAGAATAGTGATCTTGTAACCCTTTCGCTTCATGACTTCGGCTGCGACAGGCGAGAAAAGGAGGTAACCACCACCAAAATAAACGACTTGAAGACCGGTAGATTGAAGCTTGGTAAT